AACGTCCGAATGTTAGAAGGTGAGGACATATTTGTGTCTCCAAAGAGAGATTTCCTTAATTTGCAGAGAAGCGCCTGATTGTGTCGGAGAACTGCCGATTCCACTGAATCCAAACAATGTGCTGTCTCGTGCCGTCAGGACCCTGGTCGTCTAGAATAGAAAAATTCTCAACTTGTGAAAGAACATCTGAAACGAAATGCATGTATTTATTTAAAAACTCTTTGAAACTTCATGTAAATGTTTATTAATCTTATAAATGATTCTTATCAGCGTCTTGCTGTACTTCTTTGCAGACACTTCTCTGAGATTTTGCCCAAATTTTTATTGTAAAAAAACTTCCCGTTAATCAAGACTGAATCCAAGAGTATAGTAGGCGGCGTACACTGTGACTGTTTAGTGCTCTGCATCCTTAAACGATTACCTAGCTTGCGGAACATACGAAAGCTCACGAAGTACCTGCGCAACGAAAACAGACGTAGCACGGTGAATATATGTTGCCACTTCGCAAATAAGGCTGCTTTTCTTAAATGAACTCACAGTGATTAGGATAGCATCAACAGGCGACATCAACAGGCTACTTACAAACTTTTGAGAAAGAGAGTTCTTTTCACGGATGAATGAAGATGGGCAGTTTTTTTTTTGCTAAAACGAAATTGTGAGCATATGCACTCTAATAGAAGGTATAGCGAAGAGAAACTCATAAAGTTTTACAGTTTTAGACGTTAAAGATGCTTGCTTTTGAACTAACATAGTTTGGTACCAGTCCTGGACTTCACCGCCCTATTTGGACTTGCAGTACGCTCCTCTCCTCAACTTATCGCAGTTATACTTGTCACATATTCTAGTGTGAATATTAAAATACAAACAACTTTATTGTACAAACATCATGAAATTTTGCAACAACATATATCACAACTTTGTAAAGTGAGTTATGGTGATCATATTTGTACAAGCGATTTTGTTTTCTCGTTACTTGACGTTTGCGCATATGCTTTTTCATCCTTACTCCTCTCCTTCTTCATCATTCTTTCGTTCTTTCTTCGGAAACAAATAGACATCACATCCACTACAAGTACTATCACTTCCATCACCGTGATTACGGAAAAACCTGAAAGTAAACGTGCTAATGGCGGATGCGGAGAACTAGATATTAACAAACCTAGCCATAACCCTAAATGTCCGCCAAAGTCTGCGATGAGGTTTACCAGTCCGTAGGCTT